ATTGGCGGGATGTTGGTGGCTTCTGAGGTGCTCCTAGGGGCAGAATCCCCCTTTGGGCGCCTCTTGGGCGGTCTTGGTGCTCTCTTGTGCCGTCTTGGGGTTATCTTGGGCCGTCTTGGGCCGATTTTAGCGGATTGTTGGGCTGTCTCGGGGCGATGTTGGGGGCTATTTGCGTAGTCTGAGGCGCTGTGAAACTCGAAACGCCGTTCATGCGGGAAGTGTACATGTTCCTCTGGGAATGGGACGATTTTTGATTGTAATGGCCGTCTTGGAGGGCCTCTTGAGGCTCTCTTGGGGCTTCTTGGCGGCCTCGACGGCAATTTTGAGGTCATCTTGGGCGATTTGGAACGATTGTTCGGCGACTTGAGGCCGCTTGGATTGTTTCGGGGGCGTTCCGGTGCCGTTTTGGCGCGCTCCTGGAGCGTTCTGGGGGCATGAGCCGAACGTCGCGCTCTGGGCGGCGTGCGGAAGCCATTGTGTGAGAGGGCGCGGTGGTGAGAAGAACAGCTCACCCCACCCGGCTTTCCGGGCTTTCCCGCGTAAGGAGGGCTTCTTCGCGGCACTTGTGAACGCTCCTGGGCAGTGCTTTTTGGGCAGGTTCTTGACGCTTGTTGCAAGTCTGTAGGGGCCCCGTTGGGAGTCTACCGAAAGGAGAGCACATTGTAGCATCGCTTGCACTTGCTCGCGTGCTCGGGGGGACATTTGGGGGGCCTCCTGGGGCCGCTTGGGGGACTCTTGGGGGCCTCCTGAGGGCCTCGTGGGGGCCTCTTGGGGCCTCTTAGGGGCCTCTTGTGGCCTCGTGGGGGCTTCTTAGGGCCGAGGGCTCGAAATGTTGTTTCGTGTTCCCTCTCTGGGGCCCCTTTGGGGGCGTTCTTGGGGCCCTTTTGGACCGTCTTGGAGGCTTCTTGGGCCGTCTTCGAGCCCTCTTGGGCCATCTTGGGGCCCTCTTGGGGGCCTCTTGGGCCCTCTTGGGGCGATCTTGGGGGCCTCTTGGGCCGTCTTGGGGCGTCGGGAAGCCGAAAAGGTGGAAGCTCCAAAATCTTTCAAAAACCTAGGAAAAGCAATGAATTTTGCCTCCTGGGGCCCTCTTGGGAGTGCTCTTGGAGGCCTCTTGGGGCGTCTGGGGGCTATCTTGGGCGTCTTGGAGCGATCTTGTGGCATGTCGGACCCCTCGTGTACCATCTTGGGGGCCTCTTGGGGGCCTCTTGGCCTTTCTTGGGGCTCTCGGGGACGTCTCGGAGCCCTGTTGGTGCGCTCATGGAGCGCTCTGGTGGAGTCGCCCGGGGATCAGCCGGGACTCGCCCGGGGTACTTTTCGTCCGGGGACCCCCAGGGGCCGCCCCGCGCGCGCGAACTAGAGAATTGTTAACCAGTTACCGGAGATCTTAGCACGCCTCTGGCCCGTTGGGCCGGCGAATTTTTAAATGTATATATGGTTACGCATATGTATCCAACCATATATATATAGTTATTATATATATATATATATATATATATATATATATATATATATATATATATATATATCCATGCGCCTATATATACGTTTCCATATATCTATAGGTGTTTCCGTATTTCTATATGTGTCTATATTATATACGTACGTATCCGTACCGCTGTCATTCGTATGAGGCCACCGAGATCGATTATCGGTTAATTGGCTCGCATTTGGCGCGCCCGTGAAGCGTAACGGACGTCTCCCATCTGCTTGCGTTTGCATGCTCAACGCTCGTTTTGCGCAGCCCGCAGTTGGCCCGCATTTGGCGCGTCGATTGCTTCGCAGTCTGGTAATTGTTTTTCTCCCTGGTTGTCACAGAGTGTTGCAAAATGTGGACCGTGTTGGGCCATGTTGAATGCTGTACTGGACTACCGTTGACCATGTCGGAATAGTCCCTGGGAGCATCGTGGAGGGGATCCCATGACCACGGGCAGAGAGGAACGATGAAGAAGGTATTGTTTTGAAAGAGGCGGCACCCTAAAGTACACCTGCCCAGAGGGCTGGTGGGATTTGTCGTCGTCGTGCTTGTCTCATTTTTTTTTTTTTTTTTGTTTCTTTTCCATGTGTCCGTTTGCAAAAAACTTTGTCAATTGCGCGTCCATTTTGCTGTTGCCCGTCGATGCAAGCCTGTCGCCTTGTTTCACCTCTGCGCGAGTGTCACGACCCAGCACAGCACACACACGTGTCGTTTTTCCGAAAAGGAGTATGGTAACATTCTTTGGGGGATACTTACGGGCGTGTTGAGGCGGGTGCTTCAAACGAGACGTGAATCCATCCAGCAGGATGTTTCACTTGTCCCGTCGAGAAGATACGGCCCAGGGGGCCGTAAATCAAGCCACTTGCCCCATCCTGGCCAGAACTAGCCCCTACCCAAACATGTTTCCTCCCTGTTCCACACCCCCTTTTCTTTGTGCAGGGATGGTGAAGAGGAGGGAGGAGGACCTGCGCACTGTCTGTGCTACATCACGACAGCACCCTCGCGCGGTCAGTTGCACGCGAGCGCGCCCGCGCGCGCGCGGCAGTGCCTGTCCCAGGGCGCCGCCGGCGAGGTCGCGCCCAGAGTCGCTAAACATATGACGTCAGCCACCAGGCTCACCGTCCTGATCCTGACAGCGACACGCAGAACCACGCGGTCGTCATGGCTGGTCGTGACCCTGTGTTTCCAGCAAGGACCGCTGGCCGAACCAGCTCCCCTCGCGTGGCTGCCAGCAGCGCGAACCCCGCCAAGTCCGCAACGGATCGACGGGAAGGGCTTGTGCCTCCGTTGGTCATAGCGCCCTCCCTGTCCTCCTGAACGCGCTGTGCAGCATACGTGCACGTGTGCCTTGACAGCCGCCGCCTCGTGCCGGTGGGCTTGGGTATGTTTGAGTCCGATGTGCCAGCAGCAGGGCACTCTTGGCGACTGAGCTGCGACAAACACCGCGAGGATGACCCGACCGCGCGCTCCTCTCCGATCCCGCTCGGCACGATTGCCATCGAGAAGCCGTGCCGTGCCATCAGTGACTGTTCAGCCTCTCCGTCAATTGCAAGGGCTTTCTTGTCTCGCAGGAGACTGGCGCCACGCGGGCAACGACGTGAGCGTGTTCATCGCGAAGACCAGGCAAGCGCGGCGCTCCAGCCACCCGACTGGTGCGATGCGTGCGTGCCCAGCTTTGGCACCTCGGCGCCGCCTTCGTTGCGAGGTGCCAGCGCCACAGCACGCCGCCGCAGAGGTCAGTGCTGCATCGCCAGCCGCGCTTCCTTATGCGGACCAACCGGCATGCATCGCGGTGGTCTGGCACGTAGGCCACGCTGTACTGCCGACAACGGGGCAGCTGCGAACGGCCGAGGTAGGCGCCAGCGACGCTGCGCTGCTGTTGGCCGCCTCCAGGCAGCACGCGCCGCGTCGGTGCCGCTCAACAGTCACCAGACCAACGCGCGGGCCAGTCAACAGCTGTGACAGGTAAGCTTTAGCAGCTGCAGGCGGACTGCAGCAAACAGCTGGACGAGCTGCGTCTACGCGCACGCGACACAAAACGCGCGGGTGCTCTCCAGCTACGCAGCTTCGCGAGCGACGCAATGGCCAGCTACGTCCGCCGGCACCTACTAACAAAAGAGTGCCGAAGGCGAGCGGCCACATCAGCAGCGTGCCAGAAAAAAAGCCAGGGACCGAACCTGGCTGGAAGACGCGATCGGTGCTGCGGCTCGAGCGCACGCTAGGCGCAATCTGTGCCAGGCCCCCACGAGCAAACGCTCCTGGCTGCGAGGCGACATCGACCGGTCGCAATGGGCGAAGAGCCTGTCCCTGACTCTCCTGGCGGTGGAGGGTCGTTGCGACCCACAACCCTGGTCAGAGTCAGTTCGGCTCATGTCGCGTACTGGCTGACCACAAGCGAGTCGGCAGGGTGCCCAGGGTTCACACTATTCCGTTCGGGCTAAGGCTCCTGAGCCATGGGGGAGTTGCGCCGAGCGCCCTGCGCTGAGGCCTCGCTGTGGGTGCTCTAGCACCTCATTGCGGGTGGCCCTCTGTGGCCGATGTGCTGCGGAGGGACACTCTCCACTGCCCAGTAGCCCCGACTCGAATAGAAGGGGTCCGCTGCCGCCTGGCCCACAGCAGGCCCGCGAACCTGTATAGTGTTGAGAGGGAAAAGGCCGCCGCTCTGCTATCTCTCACGTAACCATTGCCGCCATGTTTCTTTCATTTCACCACTGCCACCTGCAATTCTAGTCCCCCTCCCTCCTCCCCTTCCCCCTCTCCCTCCTCCCCCTCGTCTTTCTCTTCTCAGAGTTTAAGACACGCACGGTGTCGGCCGACCGAGTGACGGAGGTTCGTTCGCATGCCACGTTCGGGGAGGGCGAACGAGAAACGCGGACAAAACCGAACGAGATCAGGGGGGGGGGAGCGAGAACCCCTTCCCCTTCCCCGTTCCTCGCTCCCTGTCCCTCTCCCCGTCCCACCCCCCGTCCCCTGTCCCTGCCCATGTTGTCGTCCTCAGCCCACAGTCCCCATTCCCCCTGTGTCCGTGCAGTTCCCGCTACCGTCCCCATCCCGGTCCCTGCCACGTCCTCGTTTTTTTCTGCTCAGTTGCGGTCTCCGTGGTTCACGCCTCTTTTCTATTCCCCTGCGCTCCCCACGCGGTTCGAGCGCCCGCAGGTGCCCTGGCGGGCGAGTGTGGCCCCTTGCCGGTTGAAGTGTATTGGCGTGGCTGGCGTGCGCATCGCCATGAAAACGGGTCTTGAGGGAAATGGGTTCTAAGTTTTTCCGGCCGCTTTCGGGCCCAAGGGCCGTCGGCGATGCCCAAGATCTTCAGAAAACGATTCAGGATAACGAGGTGATTCCGGGGGAACCTCTGGGGTCCAAGACCCGTGTCCCTCAGGATCCGCTTGCTTCCTGCCCAAATGCCCCCTCTGAATTGTTGGCGGCCGTCGAGCCAGGGTCTGCCCGACGCCAGTTCGTTCGTGGGCAAGGCGACCCCCTCCCAGCTTGCGCCGAACAAATCGCCCAGGGAAGCAGAGGGGTTCAGGAGCTCTGGTCTGCTGCATAGTCAAGAACGAGCGCGACTGCGACGACAGCAGCCCCAGCGCTGGCAAGGTGCCGTTTGTAGACGCCGCCCCCTTCAGCAGTGTGCAGTCTCCTTGCGACTGCCAGCACAGTTGCGACGGCTGTCGTTGTCGCCCCCAGTCGCTGTTAGATTTGCCGCCCCAGCCGCCGCCGTTGCGTCGCCGCTGGCGACCCCCGGGACCCTTTCCGGTGGTTTTCAGACCCGGGACAACCCCCCCGACCCCTAGGAGCCGCCAGGCCCTGGGGGTTGGGTATTTTGACCTGGGACCCTCTTCCTTTCCCCACCTCCCCCGCCGCTCCCCCCTTGGCCGGAAAGGTAGAAAGGGAAGGGAATCGACTCAACCACGACGTTCTTTTCCCTTGTCTCTCAATTTCATTGGGACTGACGACGATGACGAAAACGGAAAAGCGTCTCATACACTTTGAAGGGTCGGCGGATATGTTTGCCTGTGCGAATGTGCATGTAAGTAAGTATGTGTAGGTAATTACACGCGTCCCGCACTACATCTCCCCCTGACCTTGATTACCGACTGCACCCTCTGGATTCTCCCCGCCGGCGCACCCTTCGCCCGCAGCCATGGCGACTCCCACTTGTCGCTGGCCCTAGTGCGTCCAGGGCGTCCCCGTCTGGGACGATCCCATCGGTATCCTGGGCCGCCGCACCTAGTTCAGTTTCTGCCTCCGCCGCAATCCCGCGTTTTGGTGCGCCTCCAGTCCGACGACAAACGCGAAGGACGGACTACTAGAATTGAATTCAGCGCCAAACGCGCCGAAGGCAAACCAAGGTCATGCAAATGATGTATTCGACCGACGGAGGTCACGCTCAAAATATAATCTCGCGGCAGAAATATGCAGCAGTGGTTTTGAAGGCTCGGCGGATGGCGCAGCAAACTCCTTCAATAGTGAGTTAGTATTGTCAACTGTGCACGCATGCGTGTCAACAGCTGCATAGCGCGGTAGCAGACGACCACTAGGTCGACTACCAATTTGGCGACATCTTCAGCTATCAACACCATATGGACGGCCAGTTCGGTCACTCCGCGACCAGCGATCACCAGCTCGACTGGCGCTCGGTGTCCGTTGGAGTCGCCTTGTTTTCATACTGGCAGGGGAGGGACAACCTCACGCTAACGGGCAAGCCGCTTGCTGGAGTAGCTTTATCATGATCAGCAGTACGTTTGGCCTTGGAGTGTGAGGCATCCGGGTGAGCTTGTTTGTGTGTATGTGCGTGGATTTCGGAAAGACTACCAATTGGGATACACTGGCGCCTCCTGTATATAGTACGACCGCCAGCTTGCGTGCCATTGCGGCCCCTTGGCGTGATATGCCCGCCCGCTCGTCTACCAATCTTCCACATCTTCAGCTGCGACAACCTTGATTGCGACCGCGACAAATTCGACTCACGGCGGCCACTCGGAGGCCCACACCCACAAAATGGCTGCTAGCTTGCTTCACGAGCCCGACTATCAGTGCAACCACTCCAGCAGCATTGACTGCCGTCACGGCGGTCTTCGTAGTTTTATCAATGCCGATATGTACCCGCCCTTCGACATGGGAGGATTTGATGATGCATTCAGTGGATACTTTGCAGTATGTTGAGGGGCATTCGGTTTCCCAGCGATCGCCTCTCTATAGGAATGGGAGTCCGGATGAAGCCTTGGCGTTGTTGCGCCATGCGCTATGAGCCGTATGCCCCAAGGCATGCGCCGAGTTCGGTCCCAGGCGCTGGGAGCTCAGCCATCTGCAACAAATTTATGGTTGCAGCATTTGCTCTAGCGGAAGCGGAGGAGGAGGAGGAGGAGGAGGAGGAGGAGGAGGTGGAGGAGGAGGAGCGAGGGTTGGGGAGGAGGAGGAGGAGGAGAGGAGGAGGAGGCGAGGAGGAGAGGAGGAGGAGGAGGAGGAGGAGGAGGAGGAGGAGGAGAGAAGGGAGGAGGAGGAAGAGGAGGAGGAGGAGGACGAGGAGGAGGAGGAGGAGGAGGAGGAGGAGGAGGAGGAGGAGGATGAGAGAGGAGGAGGGATGATGATGAGAGGAGGAGCAGGAGCAGGAGCAGGAGCAGGAGCAGGAGCAGGAGCAGGAGCAGGAGGAGGTGGAGGATTTGGAGGAGCAGTAGGAGGAGGAGCAGGAGGATCATGGGGAGCAGGAGGAGGAAGAGGAGGAGGAGGAGGAGGAGGAAAAGGAGGAGGAAGAGGAGGAGGAGGAGGAGGAGGCGAGTCAAGGGGTGCGGGGAGGAGGGTGAGGTGAAGGGGGTGGAGGCGGGAAGCGAATGGGGAGCGGAAAGGGTAGTTCGGAGCGAACAATGGATGGTCAAGAGGGTTTCCGCCTTCGCCTCCTCCTCCTCTTCATTCAGGGGTTCCTGGGTGTCTCCAGAGGATCCTGGAGGTCCCTGGAGGTTGTGGTCCTCGGACGCCTCAGAGAGCTCAGCTGTAAAAAGGGCCAAAGACTTAAAAGACAACCTGTGCTCCTCGATCCTCGATCCTTGATTCTCCTCCTCAGTGTGAGCGGGTGGAAGGGGGAGCGGGAGGAGGTGAGGGGCCTCAGGGGTCCTGGCCCGGCGCGAGGTGCAGCTGGACACGTGCCTGTTGTGACCCATGCCCGACGTCGCCGCCACGCCCAGCTCTTTTGCCCCGGGCCCGGTGTCGCCCCTTCTGCGAGGCGTCCTCAAGGACGCAGACGGAGAAGGATGATCCAGGATCGAGGAATAACGTTTTCCCATGTTTTTTTGGTTCCTTGTGGACTTCGGGACCTTCGAGGATGTTTCGGAGAATGGGGGAGGAGGAGGGAAGAGGAGGAGGGAGCAGGGCGGAGAGGGAAGAGGAAGCAGGAACAGGAGGAGGAGGGGGATGAGTTGGGGGAGGAGGAGGGAGAAGGAGGAGGGGGAGCAAGAGGAGGAGGGAGAGAAAGAGGAGGAGAAGGAGGAGGATGATTTGGAGGACGTGAAGGAGGAGGAGGAGGAGGAGGAGGAGGAAGAGGTTCAGGAGGCGTGCACAGGCGCAGACTTAGTCTGCGGGGTTACACCGCGCTGCTTGCGTGCCCAGGTATATCAACGTAATACTGCTGTCATGTTCGGGTCTGAGATTTTTCAGAGAAGAATGGCGAGGACAGTGAATCACGAAACACTCAGATCTTCAAGAGCTTTCTCAGGAACCCAAGAAAGATATGAAGGTGAGGAGGCCCGTGTTGGTTGCCTCGACGCGCTTGATTGACTGCCTCGCTGTACGTTCTGCCCGCTGCCTGCGCCTCTGCCACTTCGGGTAGTGACGCATCCACGATCCAAGGGCGCGCATCGCCTGGCTGCGAACGAGGGTTGATTTGATGAGCACGCTGGTGATGATCTTCTGCTTCTGGTTCCAGCCCGACTCCTCGAGCGTGCCGAGAGACTTGTTCCGATCCTTGCGCTGCTTCTTGTTCTCTCGGTGGAGGCCGCAGCTCCCGATGACATGGCTGGTGGAGCGCCTCCTGACTTGGCCTTCTGGAGCGGGGGCCGCTGGCAGCAGCCGAGGCTGCGGCGGGCTCGGGATCTTTTCGCTTGAGTGCCCGCGCGGGCTCCATCGGCGCAAGAACCCCGGGGTGCAGGTGAAGGAGGTCGGTGTTCGTCGCGAATCTGCTTCTGTAGCTGAGCCAAATCTGACCAACTGCGGACGCGACAAACGAGGCACACAAGTGGAACAGCCACGACAGGATGAACGGCATGAGCAGTGCTGACATCGCACGCGCCTGTGCGATAGGCGGCTTTTTTGTTGCTCTTCGCACTGCATCAGAACGCGACATTTTGCATGCAGCATGGGTACTGATTAGTGATTAAGCACTTTAACAGACTCGATGTTTTGCCGTGTGTGCCCTCTTTGGTGAGCGTATTGTGCATAGTGAGGCCTCTACGTGTAGCAAACGCCGCCCCACAAACATGCCCCTCTTCCATGAACTGTCGGCAACGGAAACGAAGCTCAGCAGTGCCCTGCCTCTCCTCCACGCCAGGAAATTCACCCAGATCGATAACAGGACCCGCGCGACCCAATTTCCAGAGTTTCCGAATCGCATTCCCATCAGTGTTCAGAAACGTGTGGCGAAACTCCTCATCCTCGAAGAGCGTGCTAGCCGACTCCCCCCACCTCTCCACCCAGTCCTCCATATGAGTTAGAGCAGCCAAACAATTAGTGTCGCTCATGAACTGGGTAGCGTGCGGGCATCGTTCGTAAGCACACCGTCAGCCATCATCTCATAACCCTCGACAGCAAACAGTCCAAATAAAACAGCAATTTCTTGAGTGTGATCCTCAGGCCACCGAACCATGCTTTGATTCCATCGCAATCGCTTGATAAGTAATTCGTACCGTGTCGGAATAAGATCAAGCCTGAGGCACGTGCGTCGAGTCGACCAGAATCTCGGATGGGGGCCAGTCCAGTCGCAAGCCTCGCCCTGCACAGTCGACATACTTTTGTGAAGTAGCAAGACGTCTAGTTCGCACTCCTGAGTGCGCGTGAGCAGGAAGGGAGTGAGGCCCGAGAGCAGGGCTCCCTGGGCAACGCTGATGAACAACAATCGCACCCGCAGGCATCTAGAACGTGCCAAGGTAGCGTGCATGGGGGAGAGAACGAGCGCCTCCGACTTCAGCATCATAGACACGACGGTTGTCATGATAATGTTTCAAGCTCGGAACAAGAACCTGCTTCTCGAGGTTCTGCTTGTAGCCGTACTGCGCCAACATCGACGCCTTCACCGCCTCTTTCAGGCGGCCTGAGGATAACGTGGGAAACTAGCGGAGGTCGTCAACGCTTTTGTTGAGGGTCTCGTCGATCGGCTGGGGCACCAGAGGGCAAGACGCAATCGGGGACGGCTGTGACGACCGACGTCGCCAAGTGTTGACAGGCCTGGCGAAGTCCATGCGAAAGTCATCGGGGGCAGACGTCTCACCCATCGGCGCTCCACTCTTCAAGTGTAGGTGTACATCACGATGGTGATCACAAACCCATCAAACGAACATCTTAACCGTACGTAAAGCACAACGTACATACACAACGTCAGTAAACCATAACACACAACGTAAATACACAACGTCAGCAGCAGATACTACACAGCGTAAATACACAACAGCACGCATATACACAGCGCAAATACACAACATCACGCATACACACAGCGTAAATACACAGCAGCATGCATTACACAGCGTAAATACACAACATCACGCATAGACACAGCGCGAATACACAGCAGCACGCATATACACAGCGTAAAGACACAACGGCACGCACATACGCAGCGCAATTACACAACCGCACGCGTATACACAGCGTAACAACACAACAGCACGCATATACACAGCGTAAATACACAACATCACGCGTATACACAGCGTACATACACAACAGCACGCATATACACAGCGCAAATACACACCAGCACGCGTAGACACAGCGTACATACACACCAGCACGCGTATGCACAGCGTAAATACACAACAGCACGCGTATACACAGCGTACATCCACAACAGCACGCGTATACACAGCGTAAACACACAACAGCACGCGTATACACAGCGTAAATCCACACCAGCACGCGTATGCACAGCGTACATACACAACAGCACGCGTATGCACAGCGTGATTACACAACAGCACGCACATACACAGCGTGAATACACAGCAACACGCATATACACAGCGCGAATGCACAACAGCACGCATATACACAGCGCGAATCCACAACAGCACGCATATACACAGCGTAAATACACAACATCACGCATATACACAGCGTAACTACACACCACCACGCATATACACGGCGTACATACACAACATCACGCATATACACAGCGTAAATACACAACATCACGCATATACACAACGTAAATACGCAGAGATACTCCAGGCTGCGCGAATGCAGAACGTTTCGCAGCGTATCTATTCAACACCAGTCACAAACACAACGTAAAGACACGACACCGCTCACAGACACAACGTAACTACACAACACCGCGCGTATACACAGCGTAAATACACAGCGCTACGCCGCGATGCGCGAATGTGAAACGTAGATGCAGAACGTTGCGCACGTTCGCAATGGAAAAACACATTATGCAACACCACGCATACACACAACGGAAATACACAACACTTCGCAACCCCACTGAAATACACAGCGTAAGTACACCGCGTAAATACACAGCACGTATACACAGCGTAAATTCACAACACTACGCAACGCACACTACACCACGCACAGCACGCATACACAGCGTACATACACATCACTACGCAACACACGCGACACCACGCACAGCACGCATATACACGGCGTAAATACACAACGTAAATTCACAGCGTAAGTACACAGCACGCGTACACGCTGCGTAAATACACAGCGTAACTACACAGCGTGAAGCCACAGCGTAGATACAGCGCGCATACACAACAGCACGCATATACACAGCGTAACTACACAACAGCACTCACATACACAGCGTAAATTCACAGCACGCTTACACACAGCGTAAAAAAACAGCACTACGCGACACACACGACACCACGCACAGGACGCAACACACACACAGCGTAAATACACAACGTAAATACACAAAATAAATACACAGCGTGCGTACACACAGCGTAAACGCACAGCGTTATACACAGTGTAAATACACAACGCGGATACACGTCGTGTTTTACGTTGTGTTTTTACGTTGTGTATTACGTCGCGCCGCGTTGTGTATTTGCGTTGTGTATTTGCGTTGTGTGTTTCCGTGGTTTGCGACAACTCTCGTACATCACCGTCGACGGCTTCGATATGTAGTACGTGCGTGCGTTGACCATCCACCGGCAACGCAGCATCAGCGTAAGGTAAGTATTCCCGCAGTATTGCATTCATGCGATCGTGATCCCAACAGCCGTAGGCATTTGTCATATCGTCCAGCACCGCAGCGAAAGGCATCTTTCTTTTTTTCAGTCTCCAAGAGGTGCACTGCACACATAGAATTGCGTTCTCACGGCGACGATGAGGAACGCATCCATGAGCAGCGTGGTCGGTGGTGCCAGCTGATATCGAGCGATAGATCCCACGACAAACTGCACGATGGAACGGGCAACGCCCATGGAGAACGCGCGTTGCACCATCAATCTTCGGAGATTGCCGAAAGTTGAAATACCCCGCACAAGAAGGGGGCCGACCAGAAAGGCGCCAAGCAGTAGCAAGCGCCGTGAACGTCTCTATGATATTAATGATATCAGGGCTCTCGACGTGGTAGCCAACACCTTCTGGTCTTTCACGTTTTCGGCTAGAGTAGTGCGGGGCGAGCATAAGTAACCATGGCTCGCTTGGTAGACTCCATCCTGGGACAGCCCTGTGGCGCGAAGCACGCCTCAGCCCATCAATTGCACGATCAAGATTCTTCGCGCCACAGCCACGAGCGGCCTCACGATCATAAGTACCCATGGAGGGCATAGCAGCACGCTCAGCCTCGAACTCGGGGAGTAGCGCAGGAACTGCGCCCAGTCCATCTTGGTCTCCAGACAGCGATATCCGTTGGATAAGCTCCATCGTGTTCGGGGCCTTCCGTCGGACTGCATTGTAAACTAGACGCTTCGGGCCCAGGCCAGTGCCAGCAAGCTTGCGAGATAAAGACTGGACGGCCGCTAAGCCTCGAGATCGCCGAGCCTCATGTAGTTCATTAACCCATTTTCGGTGGAGAGCTCGGCGCCAACGTCGGACTTCTCTCTCAAGACGAGCTATGAGGTCGCGAATCTGGGAATCGTGATGCGCCACAGGTGCACCAGCAGCTCGTAGTTTGTCACGTAGATCTAGAAGGGCACGCACCTGGCGACGAAGAAGGACAGTCTCACGGTCATGAACACCAGGAGGGCGACCGCCATGTTTCCCAGCAATCGGGAAATCCATTTCACGCATCGACTTATCTCCTTGCTCCGGCACCAGAGCTTGAAGAAATCCCAAGACATAATGGCGAGCAACGTGTAGTGTGCGCGACCAGCACATCTCAACAACGGTTCACGAAGTCCAGTGGTCTGAACAGCCATAGCAATCAAATCTTGCTCCCGGCGCACGCGTGCATGAGGTGCGGTAGTCGGCAGCACACTATCAGCAGCAAGTAACATCGGGACAACATGCATTCGAGAGCCACTGCCAGGTGCAAGATGGAGCCCTCGCCCAAGCCGAGCCATTGTGCAACACTTGGTAATGCGAGAGCGAAGCCCGCAAGGTAACGTATGGTTGATATAGCTAGAGTGGCTGCCGTTGTAGTACGTGAGAGCAGTCTTGTAGAACGTGTCGGGATAACACGTACTGTGTCTATCTAGCAATTCACGCGAAGCCCGTCCAGCATGCCCCATGCGCAGTTGATTGTGGTCGCTAATCGCATTTCCGTCATGGCCTTCTTCCGAGGCGAGCGAGTGATTCAGGTCAGTATATATCAAAAGTGTGGAACGGCAGGGTAGTTCAGAAACTTCGGTGTCGAGCCACTGCAGTAGTATGTCATCAGTTTTTATTTCCAAACATTTACAAAAACGCCCGACAGCAACAGGAAAGTCGAGTGAAATCAACGTGATGCCAGTGTTCTTCGTGATGATGGAGACCAGATCACTTCTGCCCATCGTAACATGGGGCGGCGTCGACATGAGCACGTTCCAGCTCTTGTGAATGCCAGTTCAGGCGCCCGCACAGCGGTTCGTCAACGGTTCGCGTCCATATGCAAAGTGCACAGACTGATGGAGTCCTTGATTCTGAGACCACACCGCTGAACCAGGAGTGGTACGCAGCTCCGTTCCAGTCATCGCAGTGAATGCCGCACTCTTCATCGCCTCGCTGATCTCCACGAGCCGCCTCGTCTGGACGAGGCTGCAGGGACTGTGGCCAAGGAGCTGGCGTCGCGCGATGATGTCACGGGCCCGCGGGCGCACCTCGCACGCAGGCGGTGCGCGGCCCCCGTTCGCCCAGCAGAAGCTGTTGTGATGTGACAAGCGGAGGTGAGTGTAGTGTAGGGAGGTCCACCCAACTCTCTCTGCATCTGAAGTGGGCTGGAGGAGGAGGAGGATGGGGAGGGGGAGAAGGAGGTCAGTACTCCGCCGCGCGAGGACTGTCCCTCCCAAGCCGCTTCGCGCTCGCGCGGGATGTGCAGCAGGGCTCGGGCGCCGCGCCCAGCGGCTTGCCGACGGGGAGAGCTCGACGATGGCCGCGGTCCTTCGGACTTCTGTTGCTTTCGCGTTGGTCTCCCTTTTTCCCCACATGCTCTGTGGGGTCCTGGCTTTCTTCTTCGCACCCGCGTCGCACCCGCGTTTGCCGCCCTCCTCCCCCCCTCCTGCATCTCGCTCGTGCACTCATCGGACATACGCTCGCATGCAGATCTCACGCGCGCGCATCAAATATTCGCGCATACGCGCACACGCGCGCATGCGCTTGCAGCTGCAAGCACACATACACACACACACCATGCAACGCGGCACATTCTCCACGCAGCAGGGGGTGCGCAGGGGTTGGTCCCTGAACGCGTCGTCGACGCGGGCCATGGCGCATCCTGTGCGGAACGACGCTCTTGCTCTCCACATGCTTAGTGTGGTATTGGTTTTCTTCCCCACATGTTTCGTAGGTTTATGGTTTTCTTCCCTGTTGCGTCGCGCGCGCGTTTCTCGCGCGTCCTCTCCTCCTCGCTCCCTCCCTTTTCCTTTTCCTCCTCGCGCCCCGCCCGCGTCTTGCCCGCGTCTCCTACCAGACGCACGCAACATATGCGCGACATTGACATGGGACGCGCGGCCACATGCAGCCGTGCACGCAGCGCGCATGCACGCAGTACACATGCAGCACACATGCACGCATGACACATACGCGGCATTGGCATGATAGACACAGCCATAGACAGCCGCACACATTTCTTGTGTCGCAGCGTGGCAAGAGCCGTCCGCGCGCGCGTCCAGGCATTGGGCTACGGTATTGCGAATTGTCCTGCGTGAGGAGGGGGTAAGGAGACGAGGGGCGGCCGCGGAAGCGCCGTCACGCGGCGAGGCCGCGGGGGGGCGCGCGGGGCGGCCGGGCAGGAGAGTTGCCCCTGGCAGCGGGCGCGGGGCGGCATCGCGGGCGCGCCCAGGGGAGGGGCCAGCGGCAGCAGTGGAGGGCGAGGCCCAGCAAGTGGGGAGGTGCCAGAGCTGCAGGGCCGCCAGGGGCCCCGAATGTCAGGGCGGGAGGCAGGGGCAGTGGCTGTGGAGGCTGCGCAAAAGCTGCCGCCGAAGCGCGACCGCAGCGCGGGGGGGCAGGGGGTCGCGTGAGGGAGGCGAAGAGGCTGGGCAAAGCCAGGCGGCCAGGGTGGGCCGCGGGGCCCGTGCGGCCGCAGAGCGGCGCGTGGAGGCCGCGCAAAACGCCACGGGCGGCGGGGAGGCGGCAGGAGGCAGCGAGGCCGAGCTCTGGGCCGGTGCACGCGTTGCAGCCGTGAACAGGGCGGCGCCTAGTCAAGGCGGGGGCCAGGCGAAGGCCCCCGGCAAAGCAGCCAGGAGGCAAAGCGGGAGGGCGACGCGGAGGCGGCGCCCCCCAAAGTGGGGCGGCAGCGAGCCACTTGGCAGGTGCCACCAGCCGATGGCACAGGGGCGTGCCTGCCAAGCCCGTAGCCATTGAAGCGGCATGTGCGCCAACGGGGCCGGCCCGCTGTAGGGCGCGCGTACGGAGCGCACCTGCAGCGGGCCAACTGGGGGCGCGCCACCTGGGATGGCTGGCGCGCCCCACGCTGAAGCCATGAGCACGTGACCAGAGTACAGACAGGTGGCCATGATTTGGGATGGAGCCTCAGCGAGCGCAGGGCGCGGCACCTGGGGTGGATGCCGCGCCCGCGGGGCGGTAGCGGGCGCGCCACCTGGGTTGGGTGGCGCGCAGAGTGAGACGCACCTAACCAGTGCACAGACAGGTGGGCAACGTCAGCTTGCGATTGCTAAATGATGCCCCCCCTGGGGCTGATGAGTTGACCCCGCGGGGCGCGAAATATTTTTTTACAACTGCGCGCGCCAGGGGGTCGCCGCGGTCGCCGCCTAGAGGATCGTGTACCCCTGTCCGCGGCAGCCTCAAAACAAGTGGGTTTTCGTATCGTATACATGCGAAGAATTTCCTTTCCCAGGCCGATGATTGACGTGCCACAGTCGTCGCCGTCGTCGTCGTCGTCGCCTTCGTCGTCGCCGTTGTCGTCGTCGTCGTCGTCGTCGTCGTCGTCGTCGTCGTCGTCGTCGTCGTCGCCGTTGTCGTCGCCGTCGCTGTCGCCGTCGCCGTCGCCGTCGCCGTCGCCGTCGCCGTCGCCGGCGCCGTTGCCGTCCGCCGTTCGCCGTCCGCCGTCCGCCGTGCGCCGTCCGCCGTCCGCGTCGTCGTCGTCGTCGTCGTCGTCGTCATCATCGTCGTCGTGGTCGTCGTCGTCGTCGTCGTCGTCGTCGTCGTCGTCAACCACAGCCTGCCTACGAAGCCCCGCCCATGGGGCATGCGCAGTGCGTCGTCGTCGGGCGTCCGCAGTGCGTCGTCGTCGTCGTCGTCGTCGTTGTCGGCGGCGTCGACGACGACTGCAGCGGGCATGCGCAGCGCGCCCGCCCCCCAGAGAATCCGCAGTGCGTCGTCGTCCGTCGCCGTCGCAGTCGCAATCGCCGTCGCCGTTGCCGTCGTCGTCGTCGTCGTCGTCGTCGTCGTCGTCGTCGTCGTCGTCGTGGGACATATTGCAGTCGAGGGGTGGGTGGGAGGGGTAGAAAAGGAGTGGGGACGGCCCTGTTCGCTTGCTTCGGCCTCTCGTCCCCCTTCTTTCCGTTACTGTGTGCAGCCGTGTCGGCTCCGCCCGCCACCTGAGGCGTCTCTTCCCCCCGCTTCCTTTTTCCGTGCTGTCTGTGGCTATGTTGTCCCGAGCGCCCCGCCACAGTGGAGGCGCTGCTGTCCCCCTCCGCTGGAACGGCGCCGCTTGCGTCGCGCGTGTCGTTTTCTCGCTGTCGGCGGGACGTCGGCGCTAATCGCTGGCGCCGCCGCCGCGCGTTTCCTTCTGGCATGGCGGGTGCCCCCTGCCGCGATTCGTCCGGACAGGCGCGCATTTTTTTTGTTTGTAATCTCGCGTCCCCCGTGTGTATGACGATCACAAGCTGCCATTAAATGCTGGGGGGCGGGCGGGGGCGGAAGGAACCCCGCCTGGGGTGGGCGACGCGCTAAGGGCGAGGAGGGGCGCATCACCTGGGGCGGATGACGCGCCCGCGAGAACGCTCTTAACCCGTGCGCGGACATTTGATCAACGGCAGGGGCGCGTTCGCAGCAGAGCCTGGCGCGCCACCTGGGGTGGGTGGCGCGCCTAGGGGTCGGAGTGCGGCTCGCCGTCAGGGGTGGGGGGCGCGCCGAGCGAAGCGCCCATAACCAAGCGAGGACATCCAGCCACGACCTGGGATATTCGGCCCCGAGCGAGGATTTTTTTGGTCGAGCGGATAATTATCCCTGGGCGAACGGGGGAATTCTCCAGGCCACCTGGGGCTATGCAGCTTGTGCGTGTTGATCCCGTGCAGTGTTCCACTCGAGCGCCTCTGGCCGTGCATCCTCCCAGGGGACCTGGTTGGGACAGGTAGATGCCCGACCCCCCTGGTCTGGTCGTTGACGCAGGACGGCATCATAACGCCACCGCTTTGGGACCGAAGCAGCACAATGCATAGCATGCATGTCGCGCGCGCGTCACGCAGCCTGATACAGATGTACGCGCTCTTCCTGCTATTGTTGCCTGTCCCCCCTCACGCACACATCGCACACATCGTACGCACGTCGTGCAGCAGTATACTTTGACAACATCTGCCAAGTGGTGATCATGTCTGCCATGTCCTGCATAAGATGCACGTCGCCAAGCAATCGAACCCCCAGGCCTGGATCCCCCAATGATCGGTGTGTAACGAGATCGCGCCGTCGTTGGAACATCAACTCGTTGGCCTCTTGTGTGTCGGTTGGGCGTGGGCGTTGCGCTTCAAATCTTGTGCGATGTAGGGCCCTACTTGCTTCATTCACAGTTCGAACCCAATCTTGCCATCTTCTCGTCGGGTGTTGTCCTTCTGGCCGCCACGCAGCGTCGGACAGTTTCTCCTCCACAGAAGCAGTCAATTCTTTCCTGCCCTCGGCAAACAGCACACCCCGTACGAGCGCATCACGATCCCACGAGAACGGAACCTCCCCCTCGTGCACGTGCCCAAATGTTCGCCCGTGTTGGAAAATCCATTGAACAGGCACGTGATCCTTGTACCCAAAGTGTCTCGACGAATGTCCCGACTCATGTATTGGGATCAGTTGAAGCCTTGCAGCCGTACGCCATAGAATTCTGCTTGTAGGGTGCCAGTGTCGGAGCACTTGTGGCAGGCAGATGCGGTCCACCCGCGACGTGTGAAACGCCCCATAATCAGTAGGCCCAGTCAAAGTGCTTGTGTTGTCCGCCCACATGTGGTTTCCCTTCAAAGTCTCCCGCATAAGCTGGACGTCCTAATCCTACATGTGCGTTTGCATGTGATGATGATGAGGATGCTACTGATGATGGGTAATGATGATGTGCTGCTGGTGGTGATGGTGACGACGATGAGGAAGTTGATGGTGACGCTGGTGGTGACTGTGGTGATGATGGTTCGGGTAATGATGCTGATGATGATGACGAGTATGATGACCGATACTGATGATGATACTGATGATGACGATGCTGATGATGATGATGCTGTTGATGATCATGGCGGTGATGCTGATGATGAAACTGATGATGACGACGATGATGCTGATGATGCTGATGATGCTGATATTGATGCTGATAAGGGTGCCGCTGCTTATCCGGACGAGTCTCATTCTCATTAGTACTACCACCACTAGTATTAGTATCACCACTTTCTATTATTAGGCTTATGCTTAGTATTCGTAGTCGTAGTATTAGTAGTAGTAGTAGTAGTAGTAGT